GGCCAGCTCTATTGTACAGTAAAAAAATAAAACACAAAATAGCGAATAAATTCTGTCTTCACCATTGCCAAAAACTTCCTATAAAGTTTATTATTTATCATCAATTATATATTAACCCGAGGATTCTTTTATTATTAGATTATTCAAAAACAAATTATATTAGATACACATATAGCTTGTTATACATGATTGATTTTTCCTACTTTATCATCAAATACCATACTAACTAATCATTCGGACTCCATACCCAAATATTTAGTTTTCAACGATTTTAACTAATAAATGTCATGTTTCTGATCCAGTTTCTTCCTATCTTCAGCCCCTGGTGGCCATTTAATATTTTTATGGTTCATGAACGAAGGATAGCACTCAATTCCTTCTTTACCGGCCCAGTCGAAATCTATTAACATTCCTTGATACTGACCTTGAGATTTGTTTACCAAAATATTGGAATCACGAAGGTCAGCATACACAATATTTTCATCATGCAATTTGTCGATAGCTTCTTCAACACACTCTAAAATTATTTTATATTCATCATGACTAAGCGAGTCGCAATAATAAAGTGGCACAACCTCAATATAATCCATCACTACCATGTAAAAACCATCCACCACCTCTTTGTTAATGTAAAAAAGTTTTGGCACCTTTCCAATTTCGCTATACAGTTCGTGTGCCCTCTGATTATACTGCCACGCGAATTTAACAATAATTTTCTGCCCGTCTTTTGTTACGGCTTTCCAAAGAAGCTTATGATCTAAAAGTTTTCCTTCATATGCAAACTCTACGGTTGTATCTTGATACATGTATTGATTCGGATAGGGAAAAAATCGCTGTAAATTTTGACTAATAGGCTTATCTAGCGACAAATAATACTCCTTTAGTCTATTAACTCCCAAATATAAAGCTTTGAAAAGTCATACCACTTGCTCTGCGTGGACTCGATTATTTGTAGGAATGAGAGGTATAAAGTCCGTCAAGGGATCTACAATAGGTTTCTCAACATATACTGCCCCTAAAATACACACCTATGACCCAGCTAAGCATAAGATAAAAGAAGGCCAGTTACACTATTTGAGTGTTTCCCTATATGTCTTTTAGGTATAATATTTTCAAAAGAAGCTCCAGCTTGGACAGTTGGATCACAGCTACCAGTGCCAATTTCATTTTTTATCTCAATGAGAAGAAGTAAAACACTTTTTGAAAAGACGTGACACAGCAATACTCCATCATTTGAAGATTTATCTTCTAGCTGAATTGTTATTAAATCCTCACCAAATAATTCACGCATTTTTTCTTTAAATACTTCAGATCGATCAGCTTCACTGGGGTATAGTTTTGCTATTTTATGAATGAACTCAAGGGTCTATTGATAATGCTCTCTTCCCATTTCTAGATCTTCATTACGGTAATCACGCAGAAACTGACTGAAAACGTTGTGGTAAATTTGTACCGGTGGGCCAACGCACTCTGGAGGACGGTGAATAAGTAACTGCTTGTATTTAACGTGATGGTCAATAAGATTATAAAGAAGTGCGAAAGTTGACGGGGCAGGGTAGCTCTTAATCTTCTTTACATTTGCTTGCTGTTCTGTAAAGATTGGAAAAGTTTAGTTGAGATTACAAAAATTCTACTGACGCAAACATATATTATACAACAAACCTTCTTCATAGTTATCCAAATCGGAAAAATGTCGCTTAATAGCTGATAAAGATCTACATTGTAAACGCTATTAGTTTTATCGGAAGCACTCCACATAACAGTTTGGATAACATGAATAGATTCTCTTACGAGGTTGCAATCTTCTCTCGCTGAAGTGTTATTAGTTTTTCTTTCAATTCTTTTATTTTCTGATCTTTTGCATCCATATCTATATAATAAGTATGAGGCACAAGTTAATAAATGAAATTATTGCGGAGAAAGCAGTATAGGTTTGGAATATTCGAATGCAGTCGTGGCACTTACCCTGATCCTCGTTCT